AGAACCTCATTAATGAAACCACTGCGCAGGCCGCGTGGTAGACAGGGGGGCTTGGAGAGAGCCAGGGCAAGACCACCCGGGTGCTAGGGGGCCTCTGGGTCCCAAAGGCTAATAGTGAAAACACGGGTGAGCTCAGTTGACTGTGGGGGTGAAAGCAGGCCACGGGGACAGAGGAGCACGTGCAGACAGTGCCAYGGTACCGGGGGACCAGGGTGTGGAGCCGTGTAGATAGAACAGGGGTGAGGTGGGARCAGGTTTTCAATGGGGAGGGCCCCATCAAATGACCCGGCCTTAGAGTGAGGAATATGCTAATCAAAGAGAGGACTGACTCTACTGGAACCATCAGGTCATTCGAGACTGGCCAATGGAGAGATCTGAGGACAGGTGACTTCGAAAATGAAGATGATGTACTCCAGCCGTCCTTCACCTGACACACCTGCTCCTGCCCGGCCCACCCCGCAGGTGCAGTTGATTCTGCGGATGGTATCAGAAGACCTTGTATTGTTGGCCTTCCGAGGGGTCACGGTCAGGTGATACCCATCCCCGTGATGCCCCGGCCTTTCATGGAGCCTTACCGAATGAGTCCTGAGAAGCTTGTCCCACTGAATWAATCCATCTCTGTCAGGGACAGAAGTGTGGTAGGTGCACGGAAGGGTGGCACTCTTGCCCCTGGCAGCCCGAAGAATTTCCTGTGGGGGTTTCCACAGAGATGGCATTGATGGTCACCCAGACTGGAAAGAAAGCAGGAAAGCCATGCAAAGGTAATGACGTGGACGTCACCATGCACGGCATGGGACCTCTGCCAGAATGCCCAGYCCTCCTGTCCTGATGGCCAYRGGMACGGCTGCCACAACAGCAATGGTGGCCAAGGACCTCCGCTGTCCTCCAGGGCCGGGAGGCCAGCGCCTGTGCCTGGTCCATGCATCTCCACCTCGAAACATCACAAAAAGGTCTGGTGCATCCGGTGGCCAAGCCTGGCTGCCCCCTCAGGCCCACCTCCTCCCATCTCCGCAGATTTTCTAAGCCTCATTTTCTCATCAGTAAAATAGGAGTCTTCATTCTGACTTCCCAGAGCTGTGGGGAAATGAGAAAAGAGACCGTGCATCCATGTTTCCTGGTGACGGTCACAGGAGACCTCGGCACACATTGCTGGCCTCCCGTGGGACTTCATCTACTAACTGATGTGTGTGGTGAGAGTGAAGGGACGAGGGTGTTCCCGGGAGTGCCTCTCAATTCCATCTCTGCTGGTCAGGATCCAGCCAGCAGCCAGGGGGGGAACACAGGACGACACTGCCCGGGCTCTCCGCTCGTCACTCCCTCGCCAGCTTCACCATAGCTTGGCGGCTCAGCCCCTGTAGCCATCTTGCAGTTCTCTCATGTATTCTCCCAGTTTCCTTGACAGTAGAGACTTGTTACCCCTGCCACAGGGTCAGGGACCTCAGGCCATGTGCTCTGCTTAGCAGCTGACCCAGCCACGGCAGCCAGCACCTGGCCAGCAGGCAGCACGGCCATCTGACAGGCAGCCCCAGAGGGCGGGACCACAGGATCCACCTCCTGTCCCAGAACTTCACCTGCCTTCTTCTGTCCCCCTCGAATAGTTAATATGTGCCTACGGTGGGGACCAGGCCCCTGCTCTGCCCACCACGTGGTCATCTCCCTGGGGCACAGTCTGTGGACATGAAATGGGCTCACACGTAGGACTGATTCCATGACCAAACTCCAAGGACGACTCTTGCTGGYAGGAGGGAAACCAAGAAGCAGCTGGGAACCGCGGGGCAGCAGCGTCCACCGCTGGTCTGGACCCCTCGGCTCTCGGGCTTCACACACGTAGCAGAGGTGTCACCTCCAGATACAGGACACGCCGGGCTGAGGCAGCAAGCCTCGCCTCCCGAAGGGCAGCCACCTTCTCCCCTGGCCCTCCCTCTTCTAACTCGGAAGCGCCCTTTGACCTTGTATCCCCTGGTCTGCGCCCCACGGCGCTCATCACACCCCCTTCCAGGGCCACGGGGGAGTCGCGGCAGAGAGCTGAGTGCAGGGCTTCTGGGTCAGGGCCTCCGCGGGGCTCCAGACCCTTCTCTGTTCAAGGCACGACCTTGGGCAGTCGACTTAGCGCTCTGTGCCACAGGGTCCTCACTTGGGGGTGGATGGTATGGGATTAAGTGACATGAAATGCAGACTTCCTTTAGGGGTTCCTAACTCAAAATTGGCGCTCAGCAAATGAGAGCTGCTACTCCACAGCACACACCTCTCCTTCCCTGGCTGTGGGCTGCTGCCGCGGTGCCCCTGGGTAGGAGTTGATCCCAGAAGACAACCACCCACCGCCTCCCAGGTGAGCTCTCGAAAGGACTGGCGATTGCTAATGATTGTAACCAGAGAACAGATCAATCTTAGAGATCCTGACAACAGTGAGTTAGATCCTTTTATGCTAATAGATTTTCGAGGGAAGACAGGAATAGATGAGAAAGAGCTCAAAAAGGAAAAGGGCGGCAGGTAGACTGTAACCTGAGAAGGGTGTTAGAGGACTGGTCCCAGCCCTGGGGCTCACTCGTGCTCCCCTCTGCCCCAGACAGGCTTGAGAACCCTGTGCCTAAGGCCACCTGGTTATCTGCCTGGTGGAACCTCAGCCCCTCCTGGGCTCAGACACTGCCCTTGCTCTGAGGTCACGGTGACACATTCTCCACCATCCTCACCTGTTCCTTTCACTTCTTCCCACAGGCCTCAGGACCACTGTCCCTCACTTTCTCTTCTGGGGGACATTTTGGTCCCCACTSGGATGTGCCAAAGTCACCAGGAGGGACAGGTGATCCATGACTGGAAAACTGGGAAG